AAAAAAAACGTTGCCAAATGACATAATCATGACATCAAGCCTAAAAAAGAAAAGAAAAAATTGAAAACATGGCGTTTTGACATAATCATGACATAATATGTTATTTGTGACAGAAATAAATTAACTGGTGTTAAGCTATTGCAATGTTTAAAAAAAACACTACCTATAAGTATTAGCAATGTTTTAAAAACATTGTAAAGCTAAGATGATGCCCACATTAACGACGAAAAAAATAAACATCACTATAACCTATTACGGCATTTTTCAAACCTATGGCGGCGTTTATGAAACGCCACTAACGCTGAATTTTCCTGTAGTGTGGACTGAATGATTTGGTTATTACAGGAAATGGGGAGTGGGGACAATGTTGATGGTTGGGGCGGGAAGATGGTACAACTGCGATGTTAGGAAGGGCATTGAGGAAGATGCGATAACAATTGTGGTAGAGAGGAGAAGGGTTGGCTAGATAGGGTTAGGGTTCTTAGGGTTTTGAAGTATACGATGAAAATAAGGCATAAATGTATTGTTATTTTAATTTCATTTTAATTTAAAAAAGAGAGGTCGACTCTCAAAATTAGTGTTATATATAATAGAAGTTTAACGATAGTAATTTAGTCCAAAATAACATGACAATTCTTTATTTATATTTGAACTATAAGGAGTAAAGTGTTTTGAGCATTAATTATAGAAGAAAAGTGAACTTTTCCTAAGTTTTTAGTCTTACTAATTATGGAATTGGATTGGCGACATTCAGTGGAACCTCTCTCAAACATTTATTTTAGTTTCAGGACATGCAATTGATAATTCTATTTGCACCATCATTTTATCTCCTTACATTCATAATTTTTTTTCTTTTTTTTTTATTATTCCAATTTTATCAATATTTAAAATTACCAAACAATCCCTCAAAACCCTAACTCTAATTTCTAACCCACTTACTTTTTCACCACCCTCTCCACCGGCATCCCCAACTTCCACCTTCAGCGACCACCTTCAGCTTAAATCTCTAGTAACTTTACCATCTTTGACGACTAACCTCCAGGCTATTCTCCCTCACCGATCACACTGGCGACTCCCTTTTCCAATAATGACCTTTGCCCCACACCTACTGGTAACACACCCTACCATCATGACCCAGCCTTGCCACCATCATGACCTAGTTTCTTCTAGAGTTCCGGTTAGAAACAGCATTGATCAAGTGCTTTTCCAACAAGACTCCCAGCAACCCAAGGATCCAATCAACATCCTAGAAACTACATTCCATACCCACATAGTCACATAAGCATGTTATCAATTAAGCACATAGCATACGACACTACATCTAAGTCTCTATCAAGCGAGACAAACCCATTGTGATCCTAATCACTTCCCACGTACCCAAAGTATTCGAACCCGGTACGCTCTGATACCAAGTTGTAACGCCCTTAAAATAATAACATTAAACCTAACAATATAGACATACATTGATATATAAAAGCTCCACATTCTTCTATTCATCAGAGTTCCATTACCAAAAAGTATTACATGTTAAGGACAAAAGCAAATGCCCTACGGGCTTACAGCTTTCCAAGTTAACACTTGGTTACAACAAAAGAGTACTAACTCATTTACACATTAAGCCCTTGGCTTGAATTTACACGTAATACATCAAAAGAAATAAGACAACAAAAGTGTGTCCGCTTCTAGCCTCCCAAGCTATGTCCTTGGAGGTGGCATGCTACTTGTACCTGAAAATGATATTCCCATATAGGGTGAGCCACAGCCCAGTAGAGATATGCTAAACACAGTATGAGCAATAACTAAGACATTAGCAGTCGATAAATGTTTAATTTTCATAATCCATTTCCATTTCTTACAAATTTCACAATTTCCATCAATGGCTCAGAACCTGGCTAACCACTTATATGAGACAAAGACTTATATTAAGCATTTTCCATTTTTACAATAGATAAACACACAAGTTATATCAATATCTCAACAGATAAGTATACAAGCTATATCCACATTTCAACAGATATGCATATTAGCTATATCAACACTTCCAATGACAAGCATATGAGCTGTATCAACACGTCCAATGACAAGCATATAAGCTGTATCAACACATTATCTGACAAGCATATGAGCTGTATCAGTGGAGTCCATCCCCTATCTCCTCCCAAACAACATCCGATTTAGAGGTCCATCTCCTATCTTCCCCTAAACCGTGGAGTACATCCCCTATCTCCTTCCACACACACAATGTATATATACACAAAGGTCATATACACATTCAATCAATACATAACGTTAATGTATTCTATCAACCGTCATACTCTATGACATATCCAATTGATTAGTTTTAGTTTGCCTAATCATCATGCATTGTTTACAACAATCAAAACTACCATCCACCGGTAGCCCAAGCAATTATTTCTAAACAGATAATAAAAGCTCCAACAGATAAAATATCAATGTTTTCAAAAGTGAGTGATTAATAAATCTAACTCCACTATTCCACCACATAATGAACCGATTTCATTATTTCCAACTTAATTCCAAAAGTTCACAATTTTACCAAATTAATTATGCCAATTAATTTATACCACAAATTAGGGTTTTCTACCCCCTTTCCCAATATTGACCCAATGGCCTAATATTAACAACCAACAACTATATCATCACTTTGGAACCCAAAAATACAAGTTATGAGCTCAAAATCACACAACCCTTTTTACACATTTTGAAACCCTAAGTCCCAAAACTTCCCAAGTTCAACACTCTATCAAAACAACTAAAAATCTAGGTCAAAGACCATAAGAGTGAGTAGGAATCCCTACCTCAAAAGACGACAACCAACGGAGAAGATGACGAAAACGAACTTGCTCCAAATCACGAGTTTCTCGGATCAACAGATAGCCCTCGATGATCAACAACTCTTTTGTAAAGACCAAAGGTGAGGAAAACACCCTAGCTAGATCAAAATCTAGAGAGAAGGTAGAGTTCTAGAGAGAGAAGCTCAACAATGGTGTTTTTGAAAAAGTAAGAGAGAGAAAGAATGATAAAAAGTGATTTAAAATCACCCAGCGGATAACTCATATACGCATGACCCGCTCGAGCGGAGAACACAACGCTCGAGCGCCAAGAACAAAAACTGGACACGCTCGAGCGCAATAAGTCCCGCTCGAGCGCCAAGACACAAGAATAAAGTACTTCCGCTCGAGCGCAAAAACCAGTCCGCTCGAGCGTAGATTTTCCCCTCCCAGAACTTATACCCAGAAAGTACTACCCGCTCGAGCATAAACAAACCCGCTCGAGCGTAAAAATCACATCTGCAGAAGTTTTGCAGGAACACGAAATACTGGAGGTATGCAATCCCCGCTCGAGCGCAAGAAGACCCGCTCGAGCGGATCGCCTAAAAACTGAACAACAAGGAATTGAAACCAAGGCCTAACCAACCTGTAACAACCCTGCTCAAAACATCCTAAAACTCAATCAAGTGGAATTAAAGGATGACAACAAGATACATACCACTGCCAACTTCACGGAACCAAGTCCGGAACACAACAGAACAGTAAAGGGGCAACCGGGATCGCTATAGCAAACAACACCACTACTTCGTCGCGAACAATCTTCCAGCTTCATTACAAATAACCTCATTGTCCACCTTCATCATCACAACCAACTTCTCTGCCCTCTTCAACTGCCGATAGAGCACGAGAGAGAGAGAGAGAGAGAGAGAGAGAGAGAGCAGATCTGGAAAAGAAGAAGAAAAAGAAAAAGAAAAAAAAAGAGGAAAGGAAATGGGAAGGGGTCTGTAATGCCCCAAATTTTTATTAACCGAATATGTTACCAAATTTATTTATTAATGTCCATTTCCAAGATATAATTGAGGAAGCAAATAACAATTAACAAACAATAATATTCTCTCTCGTCTGCAATGATGAAATGTTCAAATATAATAATTACAACAAATGCCTTTAGGCTTACATTGAAGAAAATAAAACAAACAAATGACTAAAAAGAGATTAACCCTCTTTGCAATGAATTGGCATTCCGCCTACATGGACTAGGTCCTGTGGCCAATAAATAAAAGACATGTGGTCTTGAACAATTCTTCAACTTACCTGAAAATGATTAACAATGTGGGATAGACAATATGTCTAGTAGGAATCCCATTGCCTCTAAACAATAACAGTCAATAGATATATATGATCATGAATGCGCAAGTATTAATTATATAAGTAGTGCCATCTTTGTATATCAAAATATATATATATAGATATACTTTTTCCAAAAGATTTCTTATTAAAGCATTCAAGAAAATATTTCCTACTTTTCAAATCACCTTCAAGTATTCAAAAATTATTTTTTGCTTCATTCACCTTTAAAACCCATACTCACACCATCATTTTCAGAAATTTCATGGTTGATGAACTATACTAGAGCTACAACTACCAACAAGTCGAGTACCCATCACAATCACAAAAAAAAAAAAAAAAAAAAAAAAACCAATTTAAACCTCAATATAAAATACTTCAATAACACAATCTCAATGATAATTTCAGTACACAAATATCATCAACAAGTATCTTAGCAAATATACTTAATAATAAAATCTGAAACACATCAACACCCCATGGTCTCACCAAGCCCCACATCACAACCCTACTTTACCAGTGGCTAGCTAGAAGGAACATGGTACCTATGTATAGTCCAGTCTGCTTTACAAGTTGCTAGTTGAAAGGAATGCATTACCTTTATATAGCACCGCCTGTTTTACTGATTGCTAGCTAGAAGGAACGCATTACCTCTATATAGCATTAGCTCGTTTTACTGGTTGCTAATTTGAAGGAACGCATTACCGTAACTCGCTCCTATAGGTTTAGCATCGTAACCTGCCAGTAATCCTAAGATTACCGAAGGCCTCTGAAATAAATTCATAATATAAGGGGCTAGCAGAAGCAAATAACAAATATACAATGTCCATAGAGCTATGCAAACTTATATGGGACACAAAATTTCAAACTGTAGATCTATATTAATGCATCATCCTTACGTCATCCAAATACAAATAAAACAAAAGGGACTTAGCCTAAATATAGATAACCAAAAACTTGTCCAAAAGATGTAAGAAAATAAAACTGTTCACTTGACATAACATTGAACACAAAGACTTCCAGGAACCTCCACGTAAGGCGCATTGGTTGGTTTGACAAAAGTAAATCCAAACTGGAAGTCTCAAGCCTGGTCACGCGCCTAATCACCTACATACAAAATATAAATAGTGAGCTGGAGCCCAGTGAATAACAATAAAGTAAAGCTTTTATGAATGATGTCTATAACAGATTCAGAAATAAGAATTCAGATTAGTAACATATTCATATACATATTTATCTTTGTAAGCAATCATACGCGGTACATTCATTAGCACTAACAAATCATATTGGTCATAAAGACCCATATATAAAGAAGATGGTCATTAAGACCCACATTCATATCAGACAGATAATTGTGCACAATTGTAACAGATAACCATATTGGTTTCATAGATTGTTCCATGAATGAAACCCACAGAGATTCCTGCTACCAGGTAACAGGTAACAGATAACAGATTCACATGATTCTAAGAATGCCACGATACATTTAAAAAATTGGACAATCATTCATCTATATAGAAAATATCATTTTAGAAAACAGAGCTTATCATAGCCATCAGAAAATACTGATAATTGAACATATCTTTACAACGTTGTTACTCACAGATAGCTTCAGAAGCAGAACAAGCGAATCAAGCAGATCAGATGGATATTGGCACGTAACCTACACAAGTACATAACAGATACACATTGAAACACACGCTCTGTAAACACTTACCTTATTTCATTTCTTTCTAGGTATGTTTTTAACCTTTATCCTCATTATTTTAGCCTAAATCATGGCTTAAGAATGCCTTAGATGCAATGAGGATGCAAAAATGCACTTTAAAACACTTTGCAAAGTTTTAGAAAACGGGGCAATTTGCTCGAGCGGTCTGCAAAGTCTGCAAAAGTATTGGATGCTTTCATTTTACGCTTGAGCCAACTTTTTTGGTCATTCAAGTCAAGGTTTAAAACAAAGGGTGGTCGCTCGAGCCAATCATCAAACTCTGCAAAAGTACTGAAAGCTCGCAAAGTACGCTCGAGCGAATAAATCATCGCTCGAGCGAACCCTGCGAATTCTGGAATTTCCAAATTACTGTTCCTAGTTCAAAACTCAATTTAAACACACCAAAGCTCATTCTTTTGGGCCAAAATGAAAGAAAACATGTAGAAACTCATAACACCTCATGAATTTAAGATCATTTCATAAAATCAAAGCCTAAAAGTAAGTCAATTCTTCGAAACTATGCTCTACTTTACATGGTATTAACATGCATGTAATAATCTAAGTTCTTTACTTTGAAAACACGATCAATTAAGACAAAATGACATAGAACATGATGAATTTCCAAATCCAAGTTAAAATAATGGCATGCATGAGAGAATTCTTGAAAATCAACTTCAAAACATGGTGAATTATGCATGTATGCATGCATGAATCATGCTCAATTCTACTTTCTAATATGAAATTTTAGCTTCTTTTCCTCAATTTCATGCAAATTAGACTTTAACTTAGATAAACTCAAGTCCTACATAATTTATGATCAAGAATTTGGTTGAATTCTTACCTAAAGCTTGAGTTTGCGAGTGTAGAAGCTTAATTCTCCCAAGTCCTCTACAATTTCCTCCAAATTTTTACCAATTCTCCTATTTCTTCTTTGATCTCAACCTCCTTCTATGTTTCTCTCTTCTCTCTCACGTTTTTGGCCTCAAGTATGTAAATTATTTGAAGTGTCTAGAATGTTGATGAATCAACAATAGCCTTATATAGGCTTAGTTAATGGTACTTAAGAAAATTCGGTTAGACTTGATTAATTTTAATCAATTTATTCCAATTTCGAATCGAATTCTAATTAAACTTACCATAATAGTCCAAAAATTCTAAATTACACGTTGACCTAGTCAATCTCATGTTCAGATGCCGATAAGGCCTTCAACTTTTATGTTGAAACGGAAATTCAGACAAATATTCCTACGTCAAATAGATAGGCATGCAAAACATATACAAAATGCACAATTAACACAAATATTCCTACGTCAAATAGATAGGCATGCAAAACATATACAAAATGCACAATTAACACGTAATTTCATTTTAATTACTTATTAGGCATTCTTAATCACAGATTATTAGCGAAATTCAGATCGGGGTTGTCACAATAGCACAATCACATTTCCACAACACATGCAACTTAACTTTCCTTCAATTTATTCTTATTAACAATGCAGTTACACAAATTATCCATAACACATAAGGTTTCATTTCAACCTAACTCACATAAATTTTACAATAAGCAATACCGTCCTCCACCGATGGTCAAGGACAAAACCTCTAGACAAAGAATAACATAAATTCTCATAATCTCAACGTCTTTCACGTTACCCAAGTTCAAGAAAACATTTACATTATTCAATAACTTTTATAATTAATTACATTAATCGCACTCATCAACATAATCTAAGTTCATGACAACTATTCATTTTCTATCTCTCTCATTTTACATTTAATTTCACAAATATGAATATAGCTCACTAAATCATTAGAAACACCCATTCTACTAATTTCTCAACTTTTTCATCATATCTAGGCTTCATAAACACTAATTAATCTCTCTCTCATTTCACAACTTCAATTCCTTGAATTTAGCTTAGATTCATCAACCGTCACTAAATACATAGCTACTATTATTTAATTTCATTGATCTCATTTCCAAAATTACTAATCAAGTAAATAAAATTGGGGCTTTTTATTTGACTTACCACAACCATGTTCTATTAACAAAATTCTTTCATAATCAACACCAAATACAAGATTAAGCTCATTTAGTTCCAAACCTTAACCCTCATGTATATGCATTTTGAAATCTCTTCCCAAAACTATGTTTTTCCTGCAATAAAAACTACCACATATCTATCTATAGCAAAGTATTGAAAATAAGCAAAAAAATCTCTACCTCTTGAAGAGAGAGAACAAAACTCAAAAATTCACCAGTGACAAAAAGATGACCCGCTAAGATTAAAAAGAAGCTCTCACCATGCTCTACGTTTTGGTATATGGAACTAGCGTGAGATTATTATTATTACTCTAAGAAGATGAAACCCAAAATATAAAAGCTTGGTGCTCGAAAATGGAGGTGAGAGAGAGAAGAGAGAGTGAAAAGGCGAAAGAGAATTGACCAAAAAAGTGACTTTTAAAGAGCTGATCTTGAACAGACCACTTGAGCGGTGAAACGTGCACTCAAGCATGAGAGACAAAAAACCGCTCGAGCAACAAAACTTGCGCTCGAGTGAAGATGACAAACTCCCAATATGTCAGACCGCGAAATGGACAGACAGCTTGAGTGGACAAACCTGCGCTCGAGCAATCATTTCAAACTCTCAGAATCTTAGGCTGCAGACCAACGAACTGGACAGTTCAAACAACTGCTTGAGCGCTCACTCTTGTGCTCAAGCGAAGAGAAAATTTTCAAAGTGCTACAACCTTCCCACCTTAGGAAATTCCGTCCCCGAAATTAAAGATACACCTACACTTGAGGTGAGACAAACACAAAGGAATTACAACTCTCAACCCAAAGTCTACATCCACACTTGGGATAATTTCCCGAATCCCTGGTCCCACACCTCAGTACCACAAAGACTCCTGAGTAACAAAATGAACAAGATAAAGAACATTGAGTCACTCTCGACTGGCTTATTACAACCGAAAGGAGAATGGTCAATCCAAATAGAGTTCCCCATTGTGTATAGGTTTTGGAGCAACGATTCTAACAAACTAAGGCCATGGATGTCTCTACGACCCATATTACTCAATAGAGTGTACGAGACTAGACTTCAATTAATGCGTTCCTCTTGCACCCAATAGGTCAACCACTTCCCAACTGCATACAAACACTGAAACAACATCAGAGCGTTCGACACCCCCAAACACTGAGGATAAAACCACACTCACCACAAGAAACTCTCAGTCAACTCTCACAAAGAAAAGGGCTACTCCTACAAAGTAAGGTCCACAAATATGATTTTCTGGCACAAGAAGCCTTAACAATACTAGTCTATCAAGAACTAGCTACACAAATACACACAAGTAATTCTATATTTACACCATTACTCAACCAAGAACAAAGTGCATAACTACAAGCTAGTAATTCATGCGGAGTTCATTACACAACATCTCTATGTAAGGTTAAACAATTGATATATATATATATATATATATGTATATATGTTTCTCATTTTCCTTGAAAATTCTTTCCTACCAAAGAAATCTTCTCAAAATTCTCAAAAGGTGGACATACTTGCACCACATTTGTTAAAAGTTTCAAACTTTCATGTGATGTCCAAAATCTTTACAAACATTTCCCAAATGATCACAAATATTTATTTTAGTTAGTCTATTTATTAAAATATTCATGTTCTACTTTCTAAATTTAAATTTATTTATAACTTTTAACAGAGATGTTTGTTTTTAATAAAATAGATATTTTTGAAATTCTTTTGTCGAATTCTATCAAATTATATTCATATTGAGTATGAAATTCTTAAAAAAAAAAAAAAAAAAAAAAAAACACACAATGAAATTTTAGGAAAAATTAAAAAAAAAAAACTCAAGGTTTGACCTTGTTATAAATTACACTTTGATTTTTTTTTCAATTTATTTGTAATAAAATAGTAGGGTTTAAATTGACAAAATTAAAAAAAAAAATCAAAGTGTAATTTATCACAAGGGTCAAACTTATAATTTTTCCAAAATATTATTGTTCTAAGTTTAACATTTAAATAATAAAATTCTACTACCTGCACCATCTCAAACCATCACACATACTATTACATCTCTAGTGAAAATATTAAAGAAATAATTTATCAAAATAATAAAAATGATAATGTTAACAAAATAAAATTTTGTTACGTTAATCTTAGATTAAATAGTAAAATTCCACAACTACTATCACAATCCACCACTCTGATTGCCATCATTATTATCACCAATAAACATATTTAAAAATAAATTTATCATTATCAAAACAGTAAAATAATAAGATTAACAGTGTAAAACTTTAATGTGTTAACCTTACCTAAACAGTAACAAAACAACTTCCATCTAGCATTGTTGATGGAAAATTTTATACTCATTATTATACAAAATAATTTTTATCAAAATTACCTATTATCAGTGGATATATTATTTTTTTTTTATCAAAATAATAAAATAACAATATTAACAAATAAAATTTTAGTGTGAACCGATTAATCTAAGGGATCCATCTCACCGTCCACTACTCCAATTAAAGTTGAGGCAAAGCCCCATACGAACTGACCACAAGAAATTATTTGTACTTAGCAGGTTTTGAATCTGAGATCATGAAAGGAGCACACCCCAAATTCCAGGCCTTGACCACCACGCCACTCTATTGGAGTTAATTTTAGTGTGTTAATAACATTAAAATTTCACCACCAGCATTACAAAACCATCACACACATTTTAGTCCCTACAATTTTAATTGGCTCAATTTTGACCATTAATTTTAAATTTTGTGTCAATTTAGTTTAATTGATAACGTTGTAGGGTTTTTGACAAAAAAATTTCATTTAATTGGTTGAAGTTAAGTTACTCAATTGATTAAGTTTCTAATTTTACTTTTAAAAACATAACACATGCCACTCATGTGCACATTTATAATAATAAAAAAATACTAATAATTATAAGCAATTCGACTAATTTAAGGCAAAATAAAAAAAATTTGGTTAAAATTGATTCAATTAAAATTATAAAGATCAAAATAACATAACAGCCAATGTACATGAACTAATAGTGTAATTTATCCTTTTTTAAACTATCTAAATGGTTAAGAAAGCATGTCTGTCATACAGGAATTGTAACAATTGGTAACAAGAGTTTATGCCCAGCTAATTGATTTTGATGGTGATCTTCCATGGAGATTTTGACCTCATTAATTTAATGCTAGTGTATTTTATGGTTCTCGACACTTTACCCACAAATGGAAGGACCAAAACAGTTCATAACTTTTGAGTATGTCGGACTATTTGGTACAGTTTTTACTGATAAGTTATTATAAAATAAAATAAAAAATTTAATTTCTAAAAGTTAAGCGAAGAGTGCTTTTAACTTCTACTTTTGCATTATCAATTTTTAACTTCCTATTGCACCAAATAACACCTTTGATTAATTCACAATGTGTCCTTAAACTCTCAAAAAATCAATGCCAAGGGATCTTAGCTATTAAATTTTGTAACAGAGTCATGTTTCAATTTTGTGAGGTACTTTTCACTAAATTATCCATTAGATTGCTTGCAGTCCGAGATTTGGACTCGATTGGTCTAGTCCGAACTTCTGGGTCCATCATAGGTTTCATTTTGATTATCTAAATCATTTATTTTTTAGGCCTATATTGGTAGATTATCTATGAAAAAACTGAATTAATCCAATAATACAGTTTTAGTATAATTACATCGACCTTTATTTTAACAAAGCTAAAGCGATCTTGATTAGTGTAAATAGTGTAAAGATACAAAGATATAATATAAACTATACATTTCAATATAAAAGTGATGAAAAAATATGACAATATCATTTTTTTATTCATATGATTAATAATTTTTGATAAAAATGCAACTAAGTGTTATGTGAATTTGAACCTTAAGAGAGTCTAATGTAACATTAGTTCTATGTTTGGTTCATTAGAATAAAAGTATAATAGAATGAAATGTTAATTTCTAATTTCATTTACAATATATTTTTTAACATTTTTTAAAGTAAAGTAAATATGATAATGAACATTTGGATAGAACAACTATTCTGGTCCACTTTAATTCTAATGAACTAAAACTACCTCATGTTACTAGACCTTTTAGATATGAGAAGACCTTTTAGATCCTGAACACAAATTAGTCTTCATATCTTCTTGTTTAAATCTTGCTTCTGTGCTTATGTTTGTGCAGGCTGTTATGTGGTATAGTTTGGGGGTGAAAAATGCTTCGAAAGTTAGTAGACTCCACCTATCTATCTGTTTTTTCTACCTACTGACAGAAAAGGAATGCAATCTAGAATGGCAAGAAAATATGCAAAAAGGCATAAAAGTAAAAGTTTTTAGAGTGGTTTTAAACCAACTTGCTGAGTGTTCGAAGGTATAGAAATGGATGATAGCAGGAGAGGTGACCGATAGCAAGAGAGGTGACCCCTTGGATCTCTCAACAGAAAATATTCTCATTAAAAGATATAGGAATTAACAAATTCCTTTCCATTCATTGAAGAACAGAAGTTTATCAATTTATGGATGATTTGTGATAATTTACCAATTTATGGATGAAAACCGCTCAAAGGTGAAAGTTTTTCTATCACTACTCATTAGTTGAAATGTTCAAAACATCAATGTATCCATCATTTGACAAATTTACGTCCAATTAAATAACCATTTTACAAAACTGAAACATCATGAAATTTATTGAGACTCAAATTTCAAAATTCTGGTTGTCTAATGGGTAATGTTCTTTTCTTTTTCTTTTTTAAAGAGAACATCAAAAAAAATAAAAATAAAAAAATATCCCAACTAGGTGACTCATGCTACTAAGCCAATCATATACTTAAGCTAAAGGCCAACAACCCCTAAGACACCTACTAAGACGGATGCAGAACAATGACCAAGATTGTAGCATAGCAGCAACTAGACAACTTTTCATAATGTCAGGATCCACTCCAAGAAAAAAATAAAAATAAAATAACAGACAACAAGACACCAACTAGGAGAACAAAGCTGAAAAACAAAATCAACAATGACTCAACCGCCTACACCAGCCAAACTGAGGCGGAACAAGATTCATCTAGAGCATTCATTTTAACCAAAAAACAACAATTCTAAAGAGGGCAATCCTTTTCCACATAAACTCTATTGTAGGAATAATACAACCTCCAGGTGAGCCAAACAGGTTATGTAAAGATTTTACTGAGAAGTTACCTGATGGATCACTCCTCCAAATTAATTGATCCATTGATTGGCATTAAGCTGATCAATTTGTGGCAGGATTTTCAATAACCTATGATGGTATTCCTCCTCCTCGTCCCATACAAACAAAGTCTTCCTATGTGAGGTACACATGTTATGAAATCATTAATGAGACCATCTTTGTTACATCAGACACCTATTTATCAAACAAAAAGAGAAATCTCATTCCATTTCCCCAATTTCAGTAGCACATTAATGGGGACATGTTCAGAAGAAAAAAAAAAACTGCATTATCCTTTAAGCAATGAAATATCCTATCTCTTGCTGTCCCAATTATACTTTTCAAAAATCACTCTTTTCCGAAGGGGATTTGGCTCAGATGCAAACCTCCACCACCACTTAATCAAGAGAGCTTCATTCTTAATTTTTAGATTAGAACTACCTAGAACCATAAATCTATGTAATGAATCTTTCATCATATGAGATTGTGCTCACTGTAATTGTAGTCACAGGGTTAATATTCAATGTTTATTGGCTTGATTTGTTTTGACAAAAAGACTCGCATTAAACTTATAGTAGGCAGGGCTGAAGAGGTTGTTGAAAGATTATAAAGTATTCTCTACTTTCCTTTGTCGTTTCAGGCAAAAAATTACAAATTTATGTAGTAACTTTGTTCATATGATTGAGTTTAGAAGGTGAAATCTTTTCACCCATCTTTTTTAGAAAAAAAATTCTCCAGGTAGACATCACCTCAGCAGAACTTGTGAGTTTTAGATACTTCAATCTTTAGTTTGCTCCTTTTCTCACTCTCTCTCTCTCTCGGAAAAACTCCGAGAACTTGTGAGTCTTAGATACTTCAATCTTTAGTTTGCTCCTTCACTCACTCTCTCTCTCTCTCTGAAAAACTCCGTTGAATAACCTAAAAAGGACATCTAGCAATCATTGCTGCAAAATGTGAAAAGATGCCGAGTGTAACTGAAGCCAAACAATACGAATCAAATTTCAACACCCAAATTATTTGATGAACAAAACTTCTTTTTTTTTTTTGGGAAGTCAATATAAACCAAAGATCAAAAGTAAATACATAGTACAAGGAGCATACATGGGCAATACAAACGATGGGAATTGTCTAAAGCAAGCAAAAGATGAGGACAATACCATTTAGCCAATCTAGCCATTGTTTACATCTGACATGAACATATGTGCAACAGATACAACATACAGACCATGAGAAGATGGCAATAGCTGCACAGAAAGTCTAGAAAACCAAAGAAGCAACAACAATAGCATCAGCATAAACCAGTCAATTTACCACTAAGCTTTTATATATGACACGTACAAAAGCAATAGTAGAAAATACAGTATGATAAAAGAAGCAACTTGGTTTACCAAAAAAAAAAAAAAAAGCAACACGACTAGAAACAAGGAAACAACAACAATACAAAATCATCAAGCCATTGCAAATCTAGATTCATCAAACCTCCTTTAGGTCTTCAACAAGATGCAACATTTCTTTAAATCAGATGCAACATTTACTTCATCGGAAGCAACAGAAAATGATTGAAAAAGTTGATACCATCCTTCAGTAGCTCTTTTGGTTTCCCAAGAATAGCGGTAGTTGGAGCAAAGCAGATAATCGAACCTGCAAATGAAAACAATAACAACAATGACAAATAAACATTTGACAAGCATCTACCGAAACTTACACCTTGAACAACTCTTACTAAAACCTGAAAACACCACAGGGAAAATAATAATAATAATAATAATTGCTGAAAATTGAAAAGTAATTGGGTTAGTGACTACCACAAAACGGAGATCAAACAACATATGCAGATGAAGCAAAAAGACACCAACTATTCATGGTGAAAATACATAAATTCTAAGTAAGTAATCGATGCTCCGACCCAAAAATTAAGAAAGAAAAAAAAAGATATGGTTGATTATTGTGATTGGGTATGTGATCCTGATTATGTCTGGAGTGTTAAAGTGAGAAAACAAATTACCATTCTGCAATATGATTTTTATTTTTATCAAAAAATAAAAAGAGTTTATGAATAATAATATGAATCATTACAATCAATAAATAAACAGGGGGAAAAGATAATAAAGAACAGAAAAAAAATAGGGAGCATACAAAACCAACTTAAATTGCGAACTAAAAATAAATAGACCCAAAACCCCTCTATGAAGAAGAATGCAGTGGTTGGTTGGCAAGAGGCCAACACTGAGAACACTTGAAATAAAAAAAACATAGCCCAACCTCCCCTTCTATATATAAGTTTTGATAATTTAAGTCTATTTAAGTTTTGTATTTTGATAATTTTTTAAAAATTAAAATATTATTCTATGAAATTGAACAAAATAAATCATATTTATATATATGATAGAATTATGTAGTAAGATATGCATTATTTTTTGATTTGTTATACATGTAGACTCTAATTCTATGACCATATTATTTTGGGTGAATTTATAAGGTTTTAACATTTCTTCCGAATTTATAAAAAAAAAAATAATGTGTGTAACTTTTCTCAACACATAAATATAAAACAAATATTAAGATAATTCTCTCATCTAAAAAAAACTACTAAGATAATTCATTGAACTAATAAAGAAGCAGAACAAAATACATGTATATACAAATGACTAATTTTATTAATACATAAATCATACTTGCATAACAAATAACCAATTTTATTAATAAGTAAATCATTAAGTAAATTAATAATTTTTAATGATATGAAAAATATTTTAGTTAGCCATTTTGTTAATAAATAAATCATTAAGGAAATTAATAGTTTTTAAAGATATGAGAAATAGTTTTTAATAAACAATTTTGATAATTTATTATTGAATTGGAGAATAATTTTTTTTCTCTTGAGTATTGTGTTAAATTAAAATTTATAATAAACGATAGTTATAATTTCTAGTATTATAGGACTAATTCATATTTTAAAAAAATTTTATGGGTGTATTTATAATTTGTTAAAAAATAAAAAATTTATGTTACATAATTGACCAATAATATTTGCATAATTACACTCAAATTGTTTCACCAACCAAATTAAAGGACAAAATAACAATTTGAAAATAAACTAAGGGAAAAATAAGAAAAAAAATAGCAAGCCACAAGCAGCAAACCGTCTCTTATATATATATATATATATGTATATATTATAAGTAATACACAACAGGTTCTGTTGTGATGAGATGAGGAGATGCGACACTGTTAGCATTGATAAAAATAATAAAATAATAACTTTGATATATTTAGTTTGGGTGATTTTTGAGTACCTGCTAGTTTTGATTGCTCATATCGCACAGTTTATTCCTCTACTTCAAAGATGTATCTGTCGTCTATGGTGACTTTAGGAATGGGAGCTATGAGGGGCCAATATTGGCCTTTCCCCTTTTCACACCGCCGTTTCATTATTGGACAATTTCTGAATCAAGTTGCAAAAGCGAGGGAGGCAGCCCTCCTTGCTCGGGAAAAGATGCGAGGCCTAGGGCAATTTTCGAAATCAAGATGGGTAGTTTGAATGTCTCCATGGAGAAGATATCTTCTCCAGATTTGGGAATCCCTAATCCATAGTTCCGTCAGAGAAGTGGGCAGCAACATCCCATTTACTGGAAAGCATGGACCCAGAATAATATCTTTCTTCATCTTTTTTTCTTCTTCTGATACAGTTACTGGGCCTTTAGCCAGAGGAAGTTTTAAGAGAGGGAATCTGTGCAAACCCCACTCTGATAGGCTTACAAATCTTCATAATTCGCAATGCCAAGATCAGTTGAGGTTGGTGAAGGAATTCCCTTCTCTAGAATGTAGGAACGGACGTTCCTCCTCCTGCAGGGACCAACTTTCTTCCACAGATCTTAAGGGAAGCTGAGAGCTGTTGTTGCATAAACTAGGGGACCGATATCTAGTTTTTTGCAATTCCTGAAACCACTAATGACAGTTTTTTGGGGGTGCGTGCGACCCATTCTTCCCGAAGGGACTCTAGATTATCACACTCGTCTATGTGCAAGAACTCCAAATTAGAATCGTTGCGCTGTCCACCAGGTAAGGACCAGAGCCTTACATCCTTAATCCAAAGTTGTCTTTAGGCTAGGCGGAAAGCCATGTCTTTGAAAAAGATACCAAGACCTGGACACGTAATAGAATTAAACATCACTCGAAGAGAAGTGAAGTATGTTAGCCCCGTGGCAGTGTCTCCAGCCTTTTCACAATCATGATACTTAGATACTCAAGTCCTCACCATGGAAGGACTCCCTCTGTTGATTGCCTTCGTTTTCTACATCCTCGTCTTCTTCAAACAATGAAAACAAGTTGCCGACAAAACCAAATTTCCAAACGTTCCAAGGTAAGGAGACTGTGGTTGTGTGGTCCCGCCTCATTTTCCAGAGTGTTGGAGTTTGTTACAACAAGAAAATCTTCATTTCTTGAGTCCTTTAAGCCCCTGGGTAAGCCATTTTGCAATAATGCAAGTTTCTCCGAATCTTCTCAATGCTCAAGGAAGTTATGGAACTCAATTTGCTTAGACATTGCATTTTGCAACATCACTTCATCATCTATGCTTAGATTCACAGGGACTCAGGGATTGAACATTGCTTAATATTCAAGCAAGTAGGGAAAACTGGGTCAAGCACTGTTACATGTCTCAAGGAGCACTGGCAAGCTTGGAAGCCAAACATCCACTCATTGGACAGGGAGGGTGGAGTACGGGAGAACAAGGCTAGAAGTTCAACCAGCAGCTGCGAGCAATTAGAAATCTCAAGAGTTTTGAGGCAAGGAAGATTAACTTGCAACTTCCCACAAGTTTGGACATTTTTTTCGGATGGAGACGCTACTAAACGGTGAAGTTTAACCCGTTGTCCAATTCCAAAAATGTACCCAATCCCCCATTCTAAACATTATTCTTCAAACATAGTGTCTCGAGTAATGGAAAAGGTTTGGGGCAATGCTGCCCATAGACTCACAAACCCACATGCTCACAACACTCATCCTTCAATGTGAAGGCTTTCAAAGAGGAGTGTCCAAGTGCGGTAAGGAAGTGCAATTTTTACAATTTTTGTAACTTCATGCACACCATATTGGAGAACAAAGTATCTCCTATCCCCAAATTGGAAATCTCGTACCATGGTCCTCTGATGCTATAGCTCTTCCAGCTTTTTGTTAAGGTGTAGATGTCAAGTACTTTTGTGTCAAACCATTTCATTCGTTAAAAACCATCCAAGCTCTCACTACTCCATACCATTGTTAGCACATTATACCTTGCTGTCATTTAAACACACCCCTCTTGCATCTAGAGGATCAAACCACATTTTCTATTCCTGATATGCAAAGGTTCCCTCCAAGATGAAATCAAGTTCCCCAACCTCTATCCGAAAACCCAAATTGTCTTCATAACAATAAAAATTGGATAAGTTTATGGGAGACTTGTCAACTTAGCAAAATCCTTGTGGCATTTCTTCTAAGGAATTGAATCCAATTCATATCGAGATGACGTAGTGTTGATTAGCGTTCCCACTGTCCGCAGGCAATTTCTTCAATTCTGGACAACTCTTAGCATCAAAGTTTGTAGATTGTATAGGGTACCTAATGATTCAGGTACTGTTCTGATTCTGGTGTAGGAAAAGTTAAGATATCGCAAATGTTTCAAATCTCCAATTGATTTTGGAATAAGTTCGTCGCCAATGTGATATCTATTCAAACTCAACACCCTTAAGCGTTTCATCTTTGGCAACAGATCAAGGGGAACCTTGCTTGTCAAACAACAATGTCTATATTTACTTAAGGACAATGGTAAGAAGGTCCTTAGACTCCTTACATTCTCAGCTTTATAAAAAGTTTCAAACTTTTTGATTGCATCAAATTCGCTTTGCATGTAAGATGAATGTCGAGCACTCTTTAATTTTGTATGTTGCTCCTGATCCTTCAATTTATCCTCCAATCTAAAACAAGTATATCCTGCAACTGACTGAGCCAAATCATTGATGAGGTCATGCATCACAAATTTCGAGCTTTCACCACCACTTGATGGTTGGAAAAAAGACCTCGACTGCAATTCGTGAAAGTATTGAACTCCTAAATCTTCCATTCGCTTCTTTCCATTTTGTTGCTGAAGAAGGCCTTCTGCCATCCACAAGAAGACTAACTCCATCTCCTCAAATTCATAGTCCTTTGGCAGTATAGAGCAATATGCAAAGCACCGCTTCAAATGTGAAGGGAGATGATGGTAGCTTAATCTCAAAGCTGGGGGGATTTCATTGCCTTGTTCTGTTAAATCCCATATTTTACTATTCAATACAATTTCCCACTCATTGTCTCTTTCTTTGCACCGTAAAAGGCCACCGAGTGTCCTAGCAGCCAAAGGCAAACCTTTACATTTTTCCACAATTTTCCTACCAATAAACACCAAATTTGGATCCGCATCCATGCTTCTATTCCCAAAGGCATGTTGTTCAAACACTGACCAACAATCATCATTTGATAGATGCTGTAGCAAATGGTTTTGAACGGTTCCCATAATCGATGCAACATCTCTGTCACGAGTTGTTACAATTATCTTACTTCCTGAGACTCCATCGTTAAAGGGGGCCTTCAAAATGTTCCAATCATTGTATTTCTTGTCCCATACATCATCTAAAATGATTAAAATCTTCTTTCCAATCAAATTCTGCTTTAACTGAACTTGAACTTGATTCAATTCTTTAAATTCACAAGCCTTGGAAGTAATAGATTCAAGAATTACTTTTGATATTCTCATAGTATCAAACTCATCAGAAACACAGACCCATGCTTTCAAATCAAAATGCTTGTTCACCACTTCATCGTTGTATACCATCTGTGCAAGGGTGGTCTTGCCAAGCCCACCCATACCTACTATGGGAAGTACGCCGACTTTACTATCATTTGACTCATCCCTTAGGAGAAAATCAATTATGTCCCTTTTCTCTTTATCCCTGCCATATATGCAACGTTCATGTATCAATGATGATGTAGCTGGTGGCCTATGCCAAGCTTTAGCAAATTCTCCTACAACATTCTTTTGTAAACCAAGTCGACTTCCTCTTTCAAAAATACTTTGCAATTGGGTAGTGATTTCATCTATCTTTGAAGTAGAACTCATAAAATCATAAAGAAGAGTCGTTGGATTGAATCTTGTACAACATGTAGGTATCATGGCCAGTAGCTTGCTCTTGCTGGTGTTAGCTGCTTGAGACTCTACTGTTAACTTATACCACAAAGCTTCAGTGGCAAATTCATCTAGTATGTCATCCAGATCATAAGCCAGGTCTGTGAGATCCTCAAGCCACATTTTCACAACGCTATTTTTTATTTGTTTCTCCTCTGCATCATCTAAGAATGCCTGAATTTCTTTTAGCTCTCCACTCCATTTCTTGAAGGGAGTATGAGCCTGCTCCCGATGAGCAACCATCAGTAGGACAATTGAGGCCAACTTCTCAAACAACATCTGAACGAAAGCAGCGAGAAAGATTTCTCCTATAGGCATTGTTTCCCTGGTGAAAATAAGGAAGCAAGAAACAATATTATATCAAGTATGTCATCCAGATCATAAGCCAGGTCTGTGAGATCCTCAAGCCACATTTTCACAACGCTATTTTTTATTTGTTTCTCCTCTGCATCATCTAAGAATGCCTGAATTTCTTTTAGCTCTCCATTCCATTTCTTGAAGGGAATATGAGCCTGCTCCCGATGAGCAACCTTCAGTAGGACAATTGAGGCCAACTTCTCAAACAACATCTGAACGAAAGCAGCGAGAAAGATTTCTCCTATAGGCATTGTTTCCCTGGTGAAAATAAGGAAGCAAGAAACAATATTATATCAGATTTATGTTGGGTATACCTCCTTATTGGAGTGTGGGACCCAATTGGTTTTGGAAAAAGAGTTTAATTTGGTTTAGTATTAATTATAATATATTTTTATATATTATATTTAATTTGTGGAGACCCAATCCAATTTGGAAACAACTAAGGTTTGATAATAAACCCTAGATTCACAATATTTTAGGGTTTGTTTTTGCTCATCCCGAGGTGAAGAGAATGGCTGCTACACATACTCCACTTTGGTGAAATCAATTATTTGGGTGTGTGAACAGTGGAATTAATTTGGGTGGTTCTTTGCTTTGTTTTCGGTGCTGATTTGGTTCGTTATTTTGGATCTTCTACAACTCTGGTTCTGAAGATTTTGGTTCATCTATTTGCTGAGGTTTTTCCTCTTGTTTATTTGTGATTATTTAAAATTCACCTAAAGGTGATTTTGTGAGACCAGTCGTGTCTCGTTTGTAATCATTTGGAAACTCTTTGGTTGATAATGGATTTGGATTTCGATCCCGTGGACGTACCTCACATTGAGGGAACCACGTAAAAGTTCTTGTGTTACTTTTGATTTAATTTTTCCGCATTAGTTTTTATTCCCATTGATTGATTTACTTGTGGGGAATCACATATTTTCCCTAACAATTTAGAGAAAAACACAAACAAACCAAGAAAAACATGAGAGTGAAAGTTTGATTGATTTTAGAATGAATTCACAATTGAGGGTAACAAAATGGAGAGTCAGCAAGAAACAACATTATATCAGATTTAGAGAAAAACACAAACAAACCAAGAAAAGCAGGAGAGTGAAAGTTTGATTGGTTTTAGAATGAATTCACAATTGAGGGTAACAAAATGGAGAGTCAGTATTCCAGCTACTATTATGTGTTTACATAGAGGCATATATGCTATCTTATCAAAACCAATGGCTCAAGTTTTTTTACCAACTATTCCGCATGCCCAAAAGAAAAATTATTGGCAAAAAAAATGTCTTGTATGATCCACAAGCAAAAGTATTATATAAAATACCATATAAGAAACCATTATGGGTGAGACCATACTAAGGCACTTTTATTAAGTACTTGATAAATAAAGAATGACCCATGAAGTGTATTTTGTGGTTTCACATTTGTCAAGGGGAGCACATAAGTAATATCACATTGTACTCCGAGACTACCTAATATCTATACATATATATTAATAAAGATGATGTGATAATGATATTCTTAAAAATAAAAATCATTTTAATAAAATTTTATTTTTTAAAATAATAGGAAACAATGTCTCTTTGAAAAATACATAATGAAGTCAAACATTACTCTCTATTTTTCACTAGTTAAAGTATAATAAAGGAATCCTCTTTATTTTGCCTAATACTTTTTCATCTATATGCTCTAACACTACTATTTATTTTACTTATTTATTCAAACTGTTTAAAGAGTCTCTCAAGACTCTCTAAATGTAGCCAGCTAGTAAACAATTTGTTAAAATGACTAATATAGTAACTAACCCATCGCAGGAAGTAAAGTAGGATAAGACTAAATAATAGCAAATTTTAAAGAATCCATTGAAGATACTCTAACACAATGCACAAGTATAAATACAATGTTCCTTCCCAAACAAAAGTAATGTGCAGTTAATGAGGTCACTATATTATAGTCCAACAAAAATAATTATTGAGTAATGTTAGAGATTCCAAAAGTTCTACCACAATTTCTATCAAATGTCATGAGTGTGGAACCCACGTCACGTGGGTCCCATGTGGATCCCACGCTCATGTGAGATATGGTAGAAATTTTGGTAAAACTTTTGGGATCTCTAACCTTTTTTATAATTATTAGAAGATAATGCATTGCCTATTAATTACAAGATATTCACTAGCTATAAGCAATTAAGTCTGTATTTGATAGATTAATAGTTCAATAAAATAGGTAAATTGTCTTTTAAAATATCATTGAGTTCAAGTTACCCCAAAGGATCACTGGAGGTTCATCCAGTTGTTAATTTCATGACTGTGGGATTTGTCGAGATACGCGCAAGTTTGACTCGAACACGAGTTATTAAAAAAATAATAATAATAATAATAAAAAACCAATGGAGAAACTAAAATGACAATACTCCCATGCTATCTAAGATTACTTTATTCTTATTTATTTAGTTTAATGTCATTGGGTGAAAATTTGAAATAACAATTTGTAATTATCAAAAAATAAAGGCAGTGTCGAGGCTTGCTAATCATCCTAATTTTATCAAGAGGTGATAAATGAATTTTTAGGTGATGTGCCTTGTATAATAAGTTAAGAATGTTGCTTATAAAAGCAGAAAGTTCAATAAGACCGCTATGCCGGTCAAATTTCAAAATAATGAAACTCTTTCTTTATCAAAAACTTGTTTGGTAAAATTCCGGAGATTACTATATGATTTCTTGAAGGGTAAATTACACTTCTAAATTTTTTTTATTTATATTACTATTTGCACTCCTCGAAAATTTTTGTGGCCACTCAAGAAATCCTACGGGTGTGAACACAAAAGTTTGTTGAGTAAATGTGGCCGTGCCAAAACTTGTAAACCTAAGTCAAGGTGTGGGAATTGTTGAACATTTCTGACTTGTAACACAGAAAAATGACTCAGTGTGGCTAAGAGGAACCCCTATTGGTTTGGATCTTACTCCAATGAAGAGGACTTTTAACAAATTTATAGGTGCCAAAGATAATTAGAGTAAGATTGTGACTTGCATTGATTAGAAATCAAGTACAATTAGTAATCTAAGATACCTAAGCTGAAAAGCTAAAGGAACTAAGCTATGAAGTTATGAAGCTAAGCTAAGGTAATGAAGCTATGAAACTAAATGATCTATCAAGCTAGGATAAATGTTTTGAAGAGCATGTGTGGAAAGACTCTTGATCGAGTGTTTGGTTGGGGACCCTTTGAATGTCACACTTATAGCCCTTTATATAGTATTGGGAAAGCCTCTATTTCTGCTAAACTACCAGAAATGTAGCATATATCTCCTTAACCTCTGCCCTAAAATGCAAAGCCACACCTCTCCATATTTATTTTTCACTATAATAGGGAATGAACGAATTTATACATGATAGGTTTGAATACATATGTTTGTGTGCAATGTACATATTGATTTAGGTCCTATACATTACATGTTTGGAATTGAGATCTCTTTATTTTAATGCATTAACTTGTAACATATTGTTAAAATTCAACATCATCCCACTATAACTGTTACTTAATTTGAATTGAACTATTCTTAAATTTAAGGGGGAAAAAAAATGTGTTGACATTACTCTTTCACAACCATTAATAATGAATAGACATCTCCATTTTGTTGATGTAAGAGAGAGAATCTGAATTTTATTATACTATTTGTACGTTGAGGTGAATATATCTTCTTGTGAATATTGTGTTTATATGTAATATAATGGTTTTTGGCAATGATACATTTAAATGAGATGTAGTTTGGGAGTTTGGAAGTGGTGGATTTGTTTCATGATGAAGATATTGAATCAAGTTAAGTCCAATCAAGGATAGACCTAGGATAATATTCTAATACAAGAGAGGTAAATATATATATTAACAAAAAATTTAAAAAGAAGGTTTGAATTATAATATTAATTTCTATCGACATGAAAGGTGGAAAATAATATGAAAAACATATATAAATAAAAATATTTTCTTATATTCATGTTGAGTTACAAAACATATAGCAATTGAGAGACAATCTATTGACACTAGTTGTGTGAAACAATTTTTTTTTGGTTATATTTTGTCTGAATTGTTAAATTTTATATTTTGAACCCCATGGATATAGATGTGGGGCCGTGCAATCACTTAATTATTTTGGAGATTAGGATAATTAATTGCACATTTGGACTCCTAAAACTATAGATATTTACACAAAAATGAAGATATTTTTTGGAGAATTCAAATTTGTGACTTGGGAGACACTTTTAAGAATATTAAAATCATGTGTTGGCATTACATGTTTTGGCCATGCAAATCACGTCAGTCACTCAGAACATTGTGCTAATCATTTGTACAATTATATAATTTGATATTAAACAATCTGAATTTTGTGGATGGTTGAGATTGTTCTGTCTTATTTAAAGTTGAATGGGGATCATTGATTGAAGTTTCAACTTAAGGATTAAACTAGGATGACTGAGGGACCTATTTATACATGGTGTGGGATTGTTTTGAAGTGCAAAACACATTTTTGCAGTTGCTGCCATGGGTATTCCCTATCCTTTCCCTTTGATTTTTGCTTACAAAAGTCCATCCTTGTGAGCTTTAAATCCTTGTCTTGACTATACAACATAAATTCTAAGACTTTTGAGTGTATTCTAGTGTGTTTATTAAGCTTAACAGTGAGTTTTAAAGGGGGAAATTTTACAGACGCACTCTTTTAAGAGTGTTTATCATATGCACTTTATTATAAATTAACGTAATTTTACTTTAAAATATTGTAATGTCAACTATAAAATACGTAATCTCACCACAAATTAGCATAACAAAATGTACAAAATTTTATAGTTTATGGAACAAAAATTTGTGACTTAATTACAATATTTTTTATTATGCCAACCTTTTATACTTTCGCTCAATTTCCAATGTGGTACTTATGTTTGGCATTAAATTCATTAACATGAATTTGGCTAAATTACCCTTTTCATCCTTGCAATTAACATGAATTCCCACTTTGATCCCTTTTTTTTTTTTAATTATAACAATCAACCTTTTACATTTTTGGTCATGTTACAAAAATTTAATTTTCCCCCCTTTTTAAAACTCATCACCACCAACCACCCCTTCCCTACTACTCTCCATCCTTTGTTCTATCTCTTCAAATAAGACCACATTGAAACTTGACCGAAAGTATAAAAAGGGTACTTGTTACAATTCAAAAAACAATGGTATTAATTAGTGTACCAATATATACTATGATATTATCAC